AGACAGAACTGACTCTGCTCCCACCCCTCCGGCCATCCCTGACCCGCCACCATGGGCCGAGGCAGGCTCCTGGCCTGCCTGGGGCTGGCCTGCTGCCTGCTGCTCCTGCTGGGGGGCTCAGGCATCTCGGGGAGCCGGGGGACTCCACGGGGGCCCTGGAAGGAGGAGCAAGGCCTCATGGCGGAGGGGGCACCGTGGGGCAGAGCGAGGTACGAAGCGGTGAAGAAGCACTTGCGAGCTGTGGGTGCTCTCTCCAAGCAGTATTGGCAGTACCTGGCATGCAAGGTGTGGCAGAAGGGCTGTGAAGAGGAGGAGGATGAGTCCGGTCCCAGACCAGGTAAGCACCTTTCTCCGTTCTCTCCCTTTCCCACACCTGGGCTCTAAACACCCTGCTTCCCCCAGTACAGGGGGCTGTGTCCCCAGCCCCTCTGGACTTTGTCCTTCCCTTTCCCAGGGTTGCTGCCCTGGGCATTTCCCTCCTCGCTCAGCGTATCCCGGGTACCCACAAACACAGGTCACTCTGTGCCTGCTAGAGCCAACTGCTGACATGGTTACTCCTGTCCCCACTGCCCAGGCTGCCTGGGGCAGTGTCTGATCCCCTGCCCCTGGGAGGAGGGCTGCCATTAACTGGGCTCAGCTGAGTGTTCACACAGAATACAAAAAAGTCACTTGCTGGTGTATCTTGGCTCAGACCACTGCTTTTTCCAGGCTGGAGCTTGCCTCTGGTGGGCCAGGATTACCTGGAGATCCTCTCTGCCTGGTACTGCAGCTTCGGCAAGTGCTGCGAGACGGGAGACTGCAGGATAATCAACAATGTCACAGGTAGTGCTGTGCTGTGCTCTGCTCCGGAGCGCTTGTCTCTGCTGCCCCTTTTGTCTCTTTTATGGTTGTTTTGTCCCATTGTGTCTTTCTGTTGTTTGTGGGTTTTTCCTTTTTAAAAAAGTGTATTTTAACAAGTGATGTAAGTAAAGGGTAGTGCTGAGCTGGTGGGAGGGCGAGGGGCTGAGCTGAGTCCTGTTGCCCGTTATTCCTTTGTAGTTCTGAGACTGCAAGCGAGTTGGTCCTTACTGCACAGCGTATCTGCTGCGCTTTGCCACGAGCTGTGCGTTCATGCAGTAGCTGCCAGGCACATGCAGTGGGATCCAAACTGGCCCAGTACCCAGCCCCAGGTCAGGGGGGTGCATTCAGAGCTGCGTGCAAGCCCTGCACAGATGTCATTGCGTTTTGCTGGCCTGGAGACTTCTGGTACCCATACCCTCTGCTGGGAGCTCAGGAGGGCCTGTGGGCTTCAGTGCTCTCTGCACTCATCGAACCTCTCCTCCACTTCCCAAAGGGAAAAGGAGTCAGTGGAGGATCCATGTCTTTTGCTGTCAGTGGCTGATGCAGGCAGGGTACAGGCAGTCTGTCTCACCAACCCTGCCGCTTTAATGCCACTCCATGCTCCTCTCAGGCAGGCAGTAGAGCCACGTGGGCTTAGAGCCTCGCCACATTTTCTCCTCTTATTCCCACCTGCGGCAGCATCTGGGTTTGCAACTTAAGGCTGAGCTCTTGCTCTCTCTTTCCTGCAGGGCTGGAAGCAGACCTCAATGGGCAGCTTCACGGGCAGCACTTGGCCAAAGAAATTGTCATCCAGGCAGTGCAAGGGTTCCTGCAGAGCCCGCAGCCAAAGAAAGCTCTGGTCCTCTCGTTCCACGGCTGGTCTGGCACAGGCAAGAACTTTGTGGCTCGGATGGTGGCCAGTCACCTGTACCGGGACGGGCTGAAGAGCGAGTGTGTCAGGCTGTTCATCTCACTCTTCCACTTCCCCCATCACAAGTATGTGGACTCGTACAAGGTGAGAGCCAACAACGCGGTGTTGCCATGGGGATGGTCTGGTGTAATGGGCCTGCTGGGATGAAGCTCGTTTTCTTTGCAGCATCCAGTAAGGTGCTGTGTTTTGGATCTGTGAGGGAAACAGTGTTGATGACACACTGGTGTTCTGGCTGCTGCTGAGCGGTGCTTGCACAGCCTCAAGACTTTCTCCTTCTCCCACTCTGCCTCTGCAGTCAGTAGCTCAGGTGTGTGCAAGAACTTGGGGGATGCACACCAGACGGCTGACCCCAGCTGACCAAAGGGATATTCCAGACCATACAATGTCATGCTCCGCAGCAAGAAGCCGGGGGGGGGTTTGCATTAGGACTTACTTGTTTTCTTGCTTTGGCTCTTCCTGTTCTTTGTCCTGTCCCACTGGGTGGGAGGGAATGAGCAAGCAGCTGAGTGGTGCTTAGCCTCCAGTCAAGGTTAACCCACTGCCTCCAGGCTCAGCCCCTGCACGATGATCTGGTGGCAGTGGCAGCTGCTGGGCTTCTCCCACTCCTCCCTGCTGCTCCACAGGCTCAGCTGAAGAAGCAGATAAGTGAGACTGTGCAGCACTGCAGGCACTCCCTGTTCATCTTCGATGAGGCAGAGAAACTTCACTTCAGGCTCCTGGATGCCATCAAGCCCTTCATGGCTCGCTCTTACGAAAAGGACCAGGTGGATTACCGGAGATCCATCTTCCTCTTCCTCAGGTGATTTCTGGGTCCTTGAAGGGATGGGGAGTAACAAAGTGATGGGATTTACCCCCTGAGGTGTGCAATATGAGGGGAGGAGAAAGAGATGCCTTGCTCCTCCAAGAGGTGATTGCCTCCATGGTCAGTTTTGCTTATTGATGCTGGGCATCCTCCCTGGGTATAGGGCATTTGCAGGAGGAGCTGAGGTCCAGCTTAGCTGGGACACCTGAGCCAGTGCCTGGGCTTTGAGACGAGGAACCAGGGAGAGTCAGAGCTAATGTGGTGTCACCCTGCATGGCTGAGCAGGGAGATCCCATACTCCAGGGAGCAAAGCTGGTGCTGCAGGTCTTGGTGGGAAGTTCTTGTGCAATGGGGCACTGTCAGTTGGGAGCAGGAGGTGGGGAGTTCCCACTTCCTGGCTGGGAATCACCCCGTGGTTTAGTGGCTGGAGGTTGATTACTTTCCCATCTAGAGGGAGAAAGGATTTTGTCTTTTGTGGACCCTGGTGACTCAAGCCTAGAGGGGAGGCATCTGGAGGGAGAAGTGGAGCATCTCAAAAGCAAGGTGTGAGGTAGACACATGCCTGAAGTAGATAGTGAGGAATGCCAAGGAGAGACAAGCATTTTGGGCTCCCTTCAATGGAAGAGTTACACCCTTCAGCTTGGCTCTAGCAAGAGATGTTCACCCAGGCTGGAGGTGGGCAGAGCATTCCTCCTCCATCTCCCACCAGCCAAGTGCTCTTTCCTCCAAGCTTGGTGGTTCCCTGGGGAAGTTCCTGTACCCATGGAGGAGCTGTATCAGTGCCGGGTGCTTGTGGAGTTGACCACATTGAGGTCCTACCTGTGTGGGCATCTGGCAGGAGCCGTGGGGGAAGGAGCAGATTCTCCCTTGCTGCTTGGGGCAGGGTGGACGTGAGGCCGGCTGCACTGAGCTGACCATGTGTCACAGCTGGCAAGCTGTGCAGGTGCGTGGGGGGAAACATGTCAGCCCCTTCATGTCACCAAGCAGAGAGGAGCAGGGTGCCTTGAACTGCAGCAGTGTGTAATCCTGTGGGGTTTCATCATACCTGGTGGCAGCATGACACGGAGCTGTTGTAGGAGAGCTGGCCCTGCCCCAGGGCTCCTTTGGACACTGGCCTGGTCCTGCAGCCTGGGCCAGGTTTGGGTGATGGGGATGAGTGATGATCTCTGCCTCCCGCCTATGCAAGCCCGACAGCCAGCTGATTCCCACTGGTGCAGGGCTCAGGGCTGGGGGCTGTTGTCTGAGGCTGTTGCGTGCCCCTCACCAGCACGTCGGGGCTGCCTGGCCTTGAACTGCTTTCCAAGGAAAGGGGCTGCCCTGGGAGCCTCAATGAGTGTCAGGACCTCACATCCCCCACCATGGAGTTGGATCCGTGGTGGATCTCCAGAGGAAGCCTCGCATGGGAAGTGTACGGCTCTGTCCCTTGGGCAGGGAGTGCTTTGCCAAGTCCTGGGCTGCCACCTGAATCCCTGCCCTGGACCTGTACTTCTCGTGGGAACCCTGCTCTGTGCTCTGCCCTCCAACTTGGACGTTCAGAGTCTGGTGTGGGCCAAATGTCACTTGTGAGGTCGATGGCATCCAAGCCAGGACAGTGGATTGACAGAGATGGAGGATTCTCTGGCTCCTGGTCCTGCCCTGGGAGAGAAAGCATCTGCCCCAGGGTCTGGGCTGGCAAGATGGAAGATAGCTGTATAGATACCTATAGAAAGGGACTCTTTGGGTAGGAAGCCAGTTCCTCTGCAGATGTTTCAGATGCTGATCCTACATGGTAGGATCTCTTGTCAGGAAAGGAGGCTGCTGGCAACTCTCAGCAATTCATCTCTGGGGACACGGTTGAGCAGCTTCCCTTCTGTCTGCAGCAATCTCGGTGGCAGTGCCATCAATGAGGTAGCCCTGGACTTCTGGCGAGCCGGCCGGGCGCGGGAGGAGATCTCCATGGAGTTCCTGGAGCAGCAGCTACGGCAGGAGCTGCTGGAGTCTGCAGGTAAGAGCTGGGCTCACGTGCAGGATGATGTGAGCGGGCTGCCCGCAAACCTGCCCCTCCACGCTGGCACAGGGCCTTGCCTACACAGGACTGTCGTCAGAGGCTGGCACAGGCTGCCCAGGGAGGTGGTGGAGTCACCATCCCTGGATGTGTTTAAGGAGCAGGTAGACGAGGGTACTTAGGGATATGGTTTAGGGAGTAGACAGGAGCGGTTGGACGTGATGATCTCAGAGGTCTTTTCCAACCGAGCAATTCTGTGATTCTGTGACTGCCCAGGGCACGTGCCCTGCAAGCCGTGTTTCTTCCAGCCTGCGCCCTGAGGTTGTTTGCGACGCAGGCCCCTTCCTTCATCCGCGTGAGCACAGCACCGCTGCAGCAGCGGGCACGGGAGGAGGAAGCTGGGAGTCCTGGCCCCCTTTCGGTCCTGAAAATGGCCACATTTTAGAGGCAGTCTAACACCATAGGGAAGTATCAAGGCTTCTTGGGGGATCTGGGCTTCTCTTGGCCCAAGATGGGCAGGCAGTGATGTCCTGTGTGCAGACCAAGTGCTGACCAGCTCCTTCCAAGCGGTTGTCTCTCTCCAACCACATAGGGCAGTATGAGGCAGGACAGCCCCCCAGGAGAGGAGAGCCTTGCCTCGCAGGGGGATGCCAACTCTCAGGTGAAGCTTCTGAAGTTTGATTTGTCTTGCTTTTCCCTGCAGAGGACGGTTATGCCCACAGCCACCTCCTCAAAGAGAACCTCATAGATTTCTTCGTGCCGTTCCTGCCCCTGGAGTACCACCACGTGAAGCTCTGTGCACGGGATGCTTTCCTGGCCCGTGGACTTCCATACACAGAGGCAGCCCTCGATGAGGTGGCCAGGACGATGGTGTTTGTCCCCAAAGAGGAGAAGCTTTTCTCTGCACAGGGCTGCAAATCCGTACCTCAGCGCATCAATTACTTCCTTCCTTGAGCACCAGGTGGGGTTCACCAGTGGTGAAGGTGCTGGGAGCTGCTCTCCTTGCCGGTCATTACCCAAGCACTTGCACAGGGACAGAGACTTAACCCCTTCGTCACTCCAAGGGCTTTTTGCAGGGAAGGAGGCGCCCCTCGCCCAGCCCTGTTCATGGGACATGGGGACAGCCTGCGCTTGGCTGTGTTCTAAGTCTGTCCAGTGTTTTAAAGCCTCTTCATTTAGCAGGCAGTAACCTGAAGTGGTGATTTGGTTGTGTTGCCAGAGGGCTGGATTCACATTAGCAGGGGTGTCCGAGTGCTTTGTTTGTTACTGTGTTAAAGGCCTTGGACAGACTGGTCCTGTTTGAGGCAGTCCAGCGGAAGCCACATCCTCATCCCTGTCCCCACTTTTCTCTGTCACTTTACAAGATTGCGCACAACTGTTTTGCTGGAGTTGAGGATTTTTTTTCCTCTGCTGCTTTCCTGCATTCATGAGGTGTCTGCGGCTCAGGACAACACATGCCAGAATCAGAGTCTGTGCAAAGGCCCTTGCATAGAGAAAATGACCGAATAATCTCCTCTGGAGATGTCAAATCCGTAGCCTCTCCCTTTGGAGCGTGCCTCTCTCGTTGGAGTCTTTCGTTGTATGAAAGCAGCAACGGGGATGGGGTAAACTTCTGCTGAAATTACTTTTCTAAGTGGTTTGGTGAAGAGACTGTTTGGTTCACTGCAAAATGAAAAATGGGAGGCTAATTCCCCTTTCAGGGGTAAAGGGCAGTGGAGGAGGATGGTGGCTGAAGGAACAGGCTGCAGTTGCGTTCAGCTGTTCAGGGATGCAGCAAACTTGGGGGTTTTTCTGTTTTCTTTTTTTCTTTTTCTTGTTTTTTCCCCAGTGTGTTGTACACTGTGGGTTTTTTGGCTTGTATCAGCATTACTACGCCGAGGGGCTGTTTGCTGTCTGGGCACTTGCCAGGTGATAAGTGTGTTACAGCAGGACCAAAAAATTTCAACAGCGTTACAGGAATCGCTTTGTGACCTGCGGGTCAAAACTCCCTTCCAACACTGCTGGGCTGGGGCGAGGAGGTGAAACGGCCCATGCCAAGGCCGCGGCTCCGCTCCCCGCACGGCCCGGGCGCGGACCTTTGGTCTATTTTAAGCTTTGAACCGTGCTGCGGTGCCAGTGAGGAGCAGCACGACCTCTGGGAAAAGATTGATTGCCCAGACATACCGGCTGCTCCCACAGACTTTGACTTCCCCTTTCCCTCCGGGCACGCTGGCTCTGTTATCTAAGGAGGCTTCATAGTCCAAGGCAGGAAGATGAGCTGGCTGCTTTCTTACGGCTCCACTGAGAGTTTAAACTGGGTTGGACCTCAGGGCCTGCGCCAGCACGCGTGGAGTGCAGGCATTTCTTAGGCTTGGTTTATGGATAATACCTTGATGTGTCTGGCCTAAAGCTTCAGCCTGGGACAGAGCAGAGAGGGATGCAGTCAGGAAAGGGAGGACACAGCTTGGGTGGTGTTTTATAACCTGGGCAGAAAGTTTAGCCAGCTGGTGGTCAGTGGTGTAGGAGGTTGTAGAAGCCGGGATAACCTGTGATTTTCTTAAAACAGAAAAGAATCTTCAGCTGCCCAGGTTCGAGTGGTGCTGGCTGGAGAGGGAGGGAGTCACCTTGTCAGCCATGTGCAGTGTTGGCACACGAGGCAGTTCTTGCTCTGGTACTGATGGAGGCGGTGGGGTTACCGACGAGGGAACTGCCAGGCGGATGGTGCGAGGCCCTGCGCTCTGCCGGGGCCCACGCGTGCACGACTGAGAGTTAAAGGAGCATTTGATTACGCAGCCTCAGCAGCAAGAACTGCTCTCCTCTGACCACTGCACAGCAATGTTAAGTTTGATTTTAAAGGCATAAATAAAGATACTGCTTTTGTTCGCAATTAAATTATTTCCCTTTCTAATAGGTTGATAATAATGTTGTCTTTTCTACCCAAAGCAGCAAACTTCAAGTTGATACTGAGCAGCTGCAGATATTCCTAAGGGGGGGGGGGAAGCAGCATACACTCAAGTAGTTTTTGCCAATAAAATATTGCAACCTTTATTTAAAACAAAATGCAAATTGGCAAAACTTTGTGGAACGACAGGCAAAGAGGCCCTTCAGAGGGCCCTATTTACATCAAGTTTAACACTGTTCGCAGTTCACAGTCAGACGATAGTGAGAGAATTAAATTAGAAAAACAACCAAAATATCTTACAATAACAAGTAAAACCAAAAACAGTTGACAACACTGGTAAAGTGATTGGTGATTAACGTGAATCATTTTAATCCATTCCTGCCCTCAGTGAGTTCCCTACTGCCACAGACAGCGCGCGAGCCACTCGGGCTCTACCTCCTGCGCACAACAGATGCGTTTGGCAGAACCACCTCCTTTGGTACAGACATTTCTTACCATGTACGTGTTACAAATAAGTCAGGTGTCCCATAACCTCTTGTTTCCCACCACCAGGGAAGAGGCTGAAGGTTTTATTCTACACTCCAGGAAACCGGAGTGCAACCACAGCGCCCATCCAGGCTGGATGGTGCCGCTTGCACCGCAGCGGGAGGTTTCCGACCATCGGTTTTCCTGGCAGCAGGGCTGGGCTGAGTGTTGGAAAGAGAAGACCGCAGCCTGATACATTTGCAGAAAGCATCTCCTGGATTCCTTAGTGCTTGTCACAGCTGCTGATGCCCGAGAGCACCAAGGAGCAGACTGCGGAGCGCCTCAGCCGCCGGGGAAGCCCACCCTGGGTAAGCGGCATGCACACTGAGGTCCGGATTTCTTTTTGCCTGCACCCTACCTGCTCACACTCCTGCCCTCCAGGGAGGAGCTGCTCTGGGAACGCAGCAGTTTTGGTGTAGCTGTTGCCCCATGCCATGGGGTTTAGTTCCTGCTGCCTGCAGGGAGAGGTTTGCTGTAAAACCCCTGTGTCAGCACACCTGATGGGATGGCAACACGTGCGCTCGACTGTGACTCCCTGGTGGTCAGGAGAAACGTGCTGTGCGAGGACAGGAACAGAGCCCCTCCTTCCTCACTGCGTTCTGCATCAGCAACACTGCTCCCTTCAATTCTGCTTTCCCAGCAGCTAAATCTGATGCAGTCCCAAGACCCAAACTCTTAATTCAGCTTCACCCCTGTCCCCACTAAAAAAAATACAATTAAATTGAAGCGCTGCCAGTCGGACAGCCAAGTGCACCACTTTTGGGGTTAGAAAGGGTGTACAGTGCAGGAAGAAAAAGAGAATTGCACCTGTGAGGCAGCTAATTCCCCACAGTAGCTAGGAAGGGAAAGTGTCCCACGTCGACTCACGTGTCAGAGCATGCTTTGTGCTTGGCATTACCAGGCCCTACGTGATGCCATCCCTGTTGCAACGACAACTACTTGAAATCCCGGCCCATACCTAGTGCAAGTGAGAGTGCCTGGCTGCAATGGCACCCATACCCAACGTGGCCCTCTGATGGTGATGAGGAAAGGAAATGCAACAGCAGTTCAGGCCATCTCAACAGTGGTGCTCGTTGCTGGGACTAACAACGGGGCTCCACCAGCCTTTGGTTACCCTGAACATCCCATGCAAGGCTGAAAGTAGACGAGCTGCTACAGTAGAGACCTCTGAGGCTGGAGAGAAAGCCAAACCTACCAAAAGGGAGAAGGAACAGTAACGATTTTAGGAGAGTATCTGTGGAAAGAAGAACAGCTCAACTGTGATTTACAGCAGAACCAGATTTCTCAGGTATCTTCCTTTTGCTGTCCTATCCAATCAATCCTCGTTACCAGTACAGGCTGGGAGATGCTGTGCTGGGAAGCAGCCCTGAGGAAAAGGACTTGGGGCGCTGGTGGATGAGAAGCTGGACATGAGCCACCGATGTGCATCTGCAGCCCAGAAACCAACCCCATCCTGGGCTGCATCACAAGAAGTGTGGCCAGCAGGGCCAGGGGAGGATTCTGCCCCTCTGCTCTGCTCTGCTCAGACCCCACCTGGATACTGCGTCCAGCTTTGGAGTCCCCAACACAAGAAGGACACTGAAGTGCTGGAGCGTGGGCAGAGGAGGCCACAGAGATGATCCAAGGGCTGGAGCAGCTCTCCTACAAAGACAGGCTGAGAGAGTTGGGGTTGTTCAGCCTGGAGAAGAGAAGGCTCCAGGGGACCTTACAGCGACCTTGCAATACCTGAAAGGTGCCTGTAAGAAATCTGGGGAAGAGCTGTTCACTGGGGCATGGAGCGATAGGATGAGGGGGAATGGTTTTAAACTGGAAAAGGGGAGATTTAGGTTGGATATTATGAAAAAGTTCTTCAATATAAGGGTGGTAGATCAGTGGAACAGGTTGCCCAGAGAGGGAGTGGAGGCCCCATCCCTGGAGATATTCAAGGTCACATTTGACAGCGCTCTGACCAACCTGATCTGGTACCAGTGTCCCTGCTGACTGCAGGGGGGTTGGACTGGATGATCTTTAAAGGTCCCTTTGAACTCAATACATCCTATGATTCTATCCCTAGCCTCCTAGGGCAGATGAGAATTCTAGGCAGCAGAAGCAGCAGCAATTCTGTAGCCTCCTCTTCAAGGCAAAAATCCTGGTGTCAAGTCAGCACTGCCTCTGTCTACCCAATGGGAGTAAGACAATAGGTAAGAGTGGAGAAAACTCCCAGTAGGAGCAGTGACAGGCACATCCCCAAATTCTACATTTCTGTGTTTATGATCCACTGGAGCAAACAGAACTGATGGGGCTTCTGTGTTGCCCAGAGAGGCTGTGGAGTCTCCATCCTTGGAGATGCTCAAAAGCTGCCTGGGCACGGCCCTGGGGGTGGCTGTGGGTGCCTGTACTTGAGCAGGGGGTAGGACCAGGTAAGTGCCCGAGCTCCCTCCCAACCTCAGCCTCTTGAGCTGCTTTCCTGCCCATCACCTCTGCCATGGGGAGGAGAAACCAGGCAGCATCGGAAAGGCAGTGGGGATGACCAGCGGAGGGGAACCAGTCCGTCCTCGGGACACATTTC